TACCGCGCGGAGTGTGGCAAATCTGGCCGCATCCGTGTGTCACACCGACAAAGCACTTGTTGCATTTTAGTCCAAAAGTTTATTCGGTTAAGTTGAGGTGAGAGTCCTTCAAAACACTACAGGACCTGGTTCTTTCTACGCTCTCGTTTTCTTAGCAGGGCCCTCTGCTTTGAAGACGATGGAGAAGTGAGGCCTACCGGCCATCATGCGTGGGTTACATAACCCGTGCGCTTGTGTGACGTGAACAATGTGATCGTTCCCCAGTGTCACCGAAGGCAAAATAATGTCCGATGTCCGAGCTGTGTGTGGTGTTCGCTGCGCAGTGTTCCCGTTTGCAACGTATTGCTTGGCAAATTGCAAGGGTTCCCAGTAGCCCGTAACACTGTTTGGATATCTCAGTAGCCATTTGGTTCAAGCCGTTGCTGTGGCTCGACATGAAGCAGGCTGTCATTTATGATAACGCCTTCATGTTGTACCACAGCAACGAGGTGGCTCCTGCCACCGTGCTTGAACCAAAGGCTAGAAGTAAGGGATTCATGCCTTGAGTGATTGGATGTTTTTTTCATGCAGTTTTCTTCCAGTGTCAGAGCATGATGTTTGGACTGGCGTAATGTCTGCGTTCTGACGTCTGAACATGAGCCAAACACCTTGCTTGAACTTTGGCCTAAGCAATTAGATCTTTACGTTTTTGAAAGTTCTTATTTTCTCGTATGGGTCTGGACATCACCAATGTCACTCACTTACCAAAGAGGTGAGTTATTGAACTGTCCTTGCAATGTGATTTTCGTGATAACTGTGTGCTTGATGCTTTGATGGAATCCATGCTCGCCCACAGTCGACAGCGTGGCTCAGTGAGCTTCGGAAAATTTTGTCCCGCCCAACCCACCCCTGAGACTTTGGGACGCAGCGAGTTCTTTCTACGCTCTCGTTTTCTTAGCAGGGGTTTCTGGGAGGCTGCAACTCCCTGCTTTGAAGACGATGAGGATGTGAGGCCTCCCGGCCTTCATGCGTGGGTTCCATAACCCGTGGGTGAGAGTCCTTGGGTGAGAGGGGTGAGAGTCCTTCAAAACACTACAGGACTTCTTGGTTCTTTCTACGCTCTCGTTTTCTGAGCAGGGCCCTCTAGGAGGCTGCAACTCCCTGCTTTGCGATGGAGAAGTGAGGCCTACCGGCCATCATGCGTGGGTTACATAACCCGTGCGGCCCGTGCGCTTGTGTGACGTGAACAATGTGATCGGTCCCCAGTGTCACCGAAGGCAAAATAATGTCCGATGTCCGAGCTGTGTGTGGTGTTCGCTGCGCAGTGTTCCCGTTCGCAACGTATTGCTTGGCAAATTGCAAGGGTTCCCAGTAGCCCGTAACACTGTTTGGATATCTCAGTAGCCATTTGGTTCAAGCCGTTGCTGTGGCTCGACGTGAAGCAGTCTGAACTTACTCCCACGCTTCCGGATACAAAAAGAAAGGAGTGCCTGCACTGTTTTGTATTAGAGGATTGGGCTCTCGTATGGCGGTGGGCTTCCCTCACGGTACGCGATCGACTTTTATCGCAGTGCGGGACACTAGCCTTAGAAGGCTTGTCGGCTCAAAAATTGTTTTCAGTTTTGTGGCGCTGTGCCGAACCAGCCTGCTGGTCCTAACGAGGCCTCTGCGTTTGCTTAACGGGGCTCCGGGTGAAGCTAGCAGGTAGTCGGTTTTCTCCGTGCGCCATGGTTTTTCATTTTTGCGCTGTGCATTTTCTTGATATTTGGGATGGAGGCGACTTGAAGAGTGCAACAACTGCGCCCGCTGCAGCCCTTGCCGACTGGTGCACAGGCATGCAAACGAACACTGGCATCGCCATCGTCGGGAACCACCTAGTGGCAAGACTTATCAACCCGAAAGGCGAGCGATTCATGGGCACCTGGATTGGCGTAACGTTCTTTTACATCATGAGTCTATTGATGCCTCTGCGTGGGATTGGAGCCGTGATGATTGCCCTGGTTCTCAGCGCAGTGCAATGCTGGTCTTTGACTACTGCTGCGGTGGAGCAGTTGCTTTCGTACCAGCCCAGGCACTGCCTTGACAGAGTTTCCTGTCCGGAATCAGCTACAGAGCATTGGCATAGCTGCAATGCAACTGGTGCCAACTGCATGGGCGATTTCCTCGGCACCGTGAATGGCGAATCCATTGCAGACTTGTGTGCATGTGGCCGCTCAGGCCCCCCTGAGCTGGTGGCTATAACACGGCAGCGTTCAGCATTTCTCCTAGGCAGGCTTGTTGGTTTATCCACGCCTGTGCCTAGCTACATGTTGAACAATGGTGCAGATAGCAACCTCCTTCCCATCAGTGCGACGACAACACTCAACCACCATCTGGTTGCCGCCATCCTCATTATCAGAAATCACAGATGTGTCCAGTGCAGGCTTGTCGGGTTACCCACGCCTGCCACAGTCAAACAATTTAGCCGAGCCAGGTCCCAAGTCCTGGCACCGGGATTGCGCAAGTTACAGCTGGGCATTGTTAACTTCATTTCCTCACGATCTTTGAGACTCAGCTATATTTCCCGGTTAAGCCGAGGGTCTCTCCTGCAAATCCGCGGCAGGAGAAGGAGTTCCAGTACTTCAGTGGAGCTCTGGTCCCAACAGTGGGACGAAGCATAGCGGATGGAACCTCTACACTGTAAAGCCATTGTCCTTTGAATGTGGCATTGAGTTTGAGCTCCTCTTGGTGAGCTCCTCTCCGCGGCTGCTATGTGCTATTCCTACAGGTCACAGTTAGTACGAGCGGGAACGCTGTGTGCTGCTTCTGCAGTCAGTAAGAGCGAGAAAGCTGCAGTAACGTGGGCTCTGGTGCAGGCGGCCTCCTTTGGGCAAATTCTCTCTGGGCAATGCAATTTTGTACATACGTGAGTTGCTTTTGGTTTCTCTTCTGGCTAGGCCACAGTTAGTACGAGCGAGAAAGCTGTATGCCGCCCGGAGGGCTGCCTTCTCTCATGTATGTACGAAAATGCCGGACTGAGGCGTATCCTTTCCGCTTTCAGTGTCATTTTTCTGCAGCGGTGCACTTGCTTTTGGCAGTTCGCTGCGGGGTGCCTCCCAGTTAGAAGATGAGGAGGTGGACGCTAGGCGTAAGTTTCACTGTTTACCCAGTGACTCTCTTCGCCGCGTGGGAAACAAACACAAAAAAAACACTAGCCTTAGAAGTTTTCGTTAAGACTGTGTCGGTAACCCAAGTTGGGTTTAGACAAACTTTTACGTGGGCAGTGTCTGGCTCAGAAGCTTTGTAGCTAGCGAGACCCAAAATCTTTCTTGCCCGCCAACCACTCCAATTTGTTGGTTAGTAACCACACACTTGCATTGAGCGTGAGAGCTCCAGTTTCACACAGGTGACTTAGTAAGTCTCCCTGTCAACAAAGTTTCTGCCGTAGTCAGTCTACACATAGTTCCCTCAAAGAAGGGTACTTCTCGTCGTATGACGAACAGCTCAAAGTGAGCTCAGTTGATGTGCCAGTGGCACAAACTGGAAGCAGTCTGAACTTACCCCCACGTTTCCGGATACAAAAAGAAAGGAGTGCCTGCCCTGTTTTGTGTTAGAGGATTGGGCTCTCGTATAGCGATAAGGGTCCTTTAAACATTCTGAGGATTTGGGATTTTCAGGATTCTAAAAAGAGTATCTAGGCCGGACCTTTCCCCAAAATATTTAGTTTGTTTTCAACATGTTAAAGGTTTCAAAGATCTAAGGACTTTAAGGATGTTAAGGCCTTTTCAATTCCTTGAATCCTTACAAATCTGTAAGGGGAAACAGAACCGTCAAATAGTACATAAACGTCCTACGTACATTAAAGCATAAGTCTAGAAAACACAAAATAATATGTGTGTGTATATGCGGGGTTGTCAATATTCTGGAACCACCTGAAGGTGTTCAAGGAAGTACGTCACTTGATATGAGGGGGTTCTTACGATTCTGACACCCCAATAAACCAATAACAATCAACGCTTTCGCAAGCCTGCAGAACCCCAATATGTAATTACAAAGTAGTTCACTGGTTTGCCACGGCTCGAATTACATGCCTCTTGTACAGTTACAACCCCCCTGTAGTTTCTGTGCTTGAGTTTGTTTCGCCGTGCCGCGCACCTTTTCTTCGGATTTGGAGCTGAGTGAGTGAGTGAGTGACTGAGTGAAGAACCCCAATATGCCAGAAAGTGCTCACCATGCGCCAGCACAAGGAGAAGAAAGCCGGCCATAGGCGCCTATTTGTGTGTTCCAGTGTAGCCAGCCGAATCGCTGGGTTGTTTCTCTCGAACGTGTTAATTTCCAAAATCCAAATGGCCACCAGTGACTTGGAGCCCATTCAAACAGGCGGCAAACCCTAAGGCTGACATACGGGCAAATTCCCATATGAGGCACAACATGATCCATTGCTGCTTTGAATCTGTTGGTGTTTGACGTGACAAACCCAACACCCCATCACGAACGAAGCACCATCTTCGCAATGAGACATTGTTTTTCATTTCTCGTTTTAGCAGTGAGTGACCCGTGTGCGTGCAACATATGTTCCTGATGAGCCAAGCTTACGGAGTTGCGAAGAAACATACTGAGTGTAGAATAATGCGTCATATTGCATCATATGGCCGAGATTCCTTTTGTTCAGGATGTCACTCTCGGATCAGTGAGATGCAACTCCAGGTTGCCAAGGTTCCTGACAGCTTCAGTCGCGTCGAATGCAGCTCTGGCTCGTGTTGTAAGGTGGTTCAGCCGAATGCAGTATGTACGAGAACCAGCTCGAATCCGAAAACATAGCCCTGCCCATAACAAGAAAAAACGGTTGTGTCAGCATTTTCTGCACCCTGGCCGCTCGTGGATTTGCATTTTGCCGGGTGATAGTGGGGGGGGCGGTTGGGAAGCCAGAGCTTGCAGCGTTCTTGCAGTACTTGTAGTCGGTCAATAGTACTGGATGTTGAGCGGAGACGGAAGAACATCTTTCCGTTGATGGCCCAAGGCTGCCACCATGCCGGCATGGGATGCTTACAGCTAATGCTTTCAGTGTTTCGTGTGTACCGAGACAGGGCCAGAACCAGCTTCAGCAACTACAACAGCATACCGCCTACGAGCGAAGCACTTCCATCTACCCGCGGTGTCCATCCCTCATGCTTCGAGTTGTGATTTTGCTTGGAATCTCCGTGCTGGCTGCTGAAAGTTCTGGTTCTGATGTCTGCGCGGTAGCATTACAGCTCGATGGTGAGACGAAACAGTTGACTTGGAATGCGGAGCACGAGGACATTGCCATAAAAATCGCTGAGTTTGCAGAGGCGCATCAAGCAGGGGAGCTCGTCAAGAATGAGGTGGAGCTTGTTCTGAGGCAGCAGCGGGCTCAACTGGCTCGAAGACAAGATGTAGCCACACTGCCTTCCAAGAATGGCGCGGCGTTGAAACAGGTATTCCCGCCACGGAAAGGAGCCCAGATCGCGCTTTATAATAGCCACGAGGCGAACATCGCGATCAGCATTGATGGGCGTGTGCAGTGTGTCCTGGAGTTGGAGCGTCTCTTCGGAGTGCGATACTTCGCTCCATCTGTCACAAACTCGACGGAGCGGCGGCAGGCCTGGTTGGAGGCGGCGAAGACCGTACGTGACCGCTGCGAGTGTGAGGGAGGGCCTTGCCCACGGCACTTCGACACCGGCATCTTAGTCCGGCCGAGCTCCGAAACCGAATCAAACATCATCGAAGAGGTCTTCTCCGTAGATGAGTGGCGGTACATCGACCATCAGGAGGCACATGCTGCAATGGGCTTCTACGCATCTTCATTTCGGACAGCACTGGTCGTTGTCAGCGACGCGGCTTTCCACGTCTTCCATGTTTCTCCGGGAAGTGTAAAGCGCTTGGCGCACCTAGATTATGGCTTGGGCACCATGTACATGCTGCTGGCCGGCCTTCTTCCGGAGGTCACCGGTCAGCCTCTTGAGGCGAGATGTGGATTTACTGGAAAGGCAGACACGCCCTTGTATCCCGAGTTTTTTTCAGGGGACCTGTATTTGCAGTGCCTTAGTTGGGCTGGAAAGCTCATGGGATATGCTGCTGCTGGCACTCCTGCCGAGGATTTGCAAGAGGTTGCGCGGGAGGCGTTCGAAGTATCTGGTGCCATGCCAAAATTCTCCATGGAGCACATCATGAGCGTCGCCTTCCCTGCGACACCATTGCCAGGCCGATTTCATGACGCACTTCAGCAAGTTTGCGCATCAGACGAGGGCCAACGCAACTTTGCTGCATCAGTGCAGGCCGAGTTCGAAAGGATCACGAACTTGACAGTGACCGAACTTGTTCGACGCGTGGGGCCGCGGAGCTTTGATGGTGTTGTGCTTACCGGGGGCTGTGCACTGAACGTCTTGGCCAATCAGCGCGTGCATGATACTTTGCAGGCCGGAGGTGTTGATGGTGCAGATAGTTTAGATGTGTGGGTGCCGCCCTCGCCCAACGATGGCGGCCTGGCCATCGGAGGTTTGTGGTCCGTTGCTCCGCCGATGGCACGCCAGCCGCTGCAGTACTTGGGCTTCTCGCTCTGGGATGCTGAGAGCCTGGACGCGGCCGCAGAACAGCGCCAAGCCCGGAGCCTGTCGCAGTTGGGTGGCGTGGACTTCCTGGCGGATTTGCTGGCCGGCCAAGGCGAGTGGGCGCTGAAGGGGACGGGGTTGGCACGGCCGATCATCGCTGTGGTCCGGGGCCGTCAGGAGTTCGGACCTAGAGCGTTGGGGCATCGATCCCTGCTGGCTGTTCCGGACTCTACGATGAAGGACCGCATGAATCGTTTGAAGGCACGGCAGTGGTACCGGCCCGTGGCCCCGATGATCGCGGAGGAGGATTTGGTCCAGGTCTTTGGGCGGCGAGTGCTGTCGCCCTTCATGAGTATGGCGCCTTCCGTCCGCCCGGAGGCACAACAGAAGTTCCCGGCTTTGGCCCACTTCGATGGCACTGCGCGGCACCAGTCTGTTTCACGAGCCGACGAGCCTTGGGTCCACGCACTGCTCCTTGCTGTGGGCAAGCGCACCGGACTGGCGGCCCTCATCAACACGAGTTTCAATACGAAGGGCAAGCCCATCGTCAACACGGTCCGCGAGAGCCTTCGGATGCTGGATGACCTGCCCGACCTGGACTATGTGGTCATCGGGGACTGGCTTTTCGAGAAAGCCCGGCCCTGATGCAGAAGGCGGTGCCATTAGCCGCTATCATCTGCAGTCGAAAAGAAGATGCCTTGTCAGAGTATGGTCACCGCAAGGTTGCGACATAGTCGTAGCACTTCGTGATAGTTGGTTCATGTTGGCGTCCGGTTCTTGTACACTCACCCATACTTATAAGAACCCCAATATACACTCACCAATAACAGCAATATAGACCCTGTTTCATCTATCTTGGTTTTTTCAACACTTGAAATCGTGAGGGCTTGAAGTTCGTTCTGGCCAGTCAGCTGAGCACGCCCAAGCGGAGCCCTCGCACACAATGCACCTGAAGGAGTGGTGATTCAGGAAGCCTCACGGCCCGGTACACTTGGCAGCCCTTAACGCTCCCTCTTTGATTCGCCTGGTAGTCCGCTGCAGTCCCTGCATAGAATACAACAAGACCCCAAGCCTTCTGAGTTTGATGAGCCCTTGTCCAGACATAGGTTTCTAGCATGCCCAAGCCCTTCCAAATCTTGTCACATCCAGAAAATACGGGAAAAGACACGAACGAACCGCGTAAACGAAACAATGTTAGAAATAAATGACACAGGAAAAAAGAACTTGATAGCGGCTCGTGAAGAGATTAAGGTATCAAAATGGGGGGGGGGTTGTTGTTATATTCATTCCGGTCCAACTTTGGAATATGGAAATGAATGCACCCTTGGATTTCTTGAAAGTAGGTGTTTGCGCTCGTTCCAAAGATGGAGGTCGTGGTTATTGATGACTGATTTCTCCACCAAGCGTTCCACATGCCTGGGGTCTTCGTTGAGCAACTTCGCGATTTCATCGGATTGGCTCCGAGAGCAAAGCGACGTTGACCCCTTCCAGTAAGTGAAGTCGCTATTCGCATATTCGGACATACTTCGCGACGTGCTGGCCCGCATGCACATGGTGCAATGCCTCGAAACGCAATGCGCCCACATTGCGGTTGACGACCGCCGGGCTCCTGGGACTTTCTAGCACGCTCCTTTTCCGCATCCTTCTGTGCGTATGTCTCAGTGCAAAGAGAGAGATTGTGTTCAAGGCCAAACAATCTCCCGTCAACCCGACGAAGTATTGGTACGACATCAAAAGGCTGACCCCCGGCACTCCCATCCCACCGGCGGAGTTGCAGCGACGGGGCGATGTTTTCACGCGTGGCGAGTGGCCCAGCCTCCTCCGAGAGGCTGTCGGCAGCGTTGTCATACACGGCCGTGCCAGACCTCGCGGCCCGAGCGGGCAGGCCGCAGCGCAGGTCCACCTCGGTGAGCTCTCAGCGGCTGCTTGAGCACTCGTTGCCGACCCCGTGGCCCCAGGCACCGATGCCACCCTCGCCGAGCTTGGCGACCCGGCGCGACGCCCGCCTGAACCATACAGCCCACTGTCGCCAGACATTGCCGCTTTTCAGCCTGATGAGCCTTGTCCCTTTCCGCTGCAAGCCTTTCTCACTTGCCTGCGGACGGCGCGACGTGGGGCTGCAGCAGGTCCTTCGGGAGCCACCAACGAGCACCGCGCTCACTCCCCGCAGATCGACGCCAGCCTCCTGCAAGCGCCCGCCGCGCCCGGCGCCAGTGGCTCACCTGCCGTCGCGGCGGCAACGCAAGCCGCCGACCACTTGGCTGCCCAAAGCCGCATTTCAGCGAGGATGCCAAGATCCACGAGCGGGTGCAGCGGGGCATCCGCACGGCCCAGGAGCGTGGCGAGGCAGCGGAGCATGGCTGCATCATGCTGGCATACCCGGCTGTAGCGGCAGGGGGCAAAGCGCGCAGGAGGTAATTGGCGCGGGGGCCAACGCAGTAGTGCAACAGCAACCACGACGCCTGCAAGTCCTCAACCAAGGGGGATGCGCTGGAGGAGGCAATCGTGCTCCTCGCGCTTTAGTTCGAGTCGCCGCTGGACGTAGGCGTCACTGCCGAAGGGCGTGCCAAGGACGGTCAGGCCTTGTCGGTCCGGCGGCAGGGCCCAGTCTCCTACCCAAACGGCGGTGTCCGGGTCTGCTTGCAGCGCGGAGATGCCAGGAGGCTCCTCCCCGGCGGCATTCCAAATGCGTGTTTTGATCGGTTGAGCTCAACACGCGCGTGTGCCCACAGCGCTCGTCGGTAGACCTTGTAAAGCTCGCAAGCTCGTTCCGGCGTGCAGACGACGTAGGTGTCATCGAGGTAGGCGAAGAGCGCTTCTCCGCCCCTGAGCTGCGACTGAACCTCCTCGAGCGCCGGCTGCTGAGCGAGGGAGCACAAGGCGGGCATCAAGGGGTCACCTTGCTCCCCGCCGTTTGCCTGTGCGATGTGATGCGTGACCCCTTGTGCGTCTATACCCAGACGTAGGAACTGGGTGTGCCGTAGAACTGCCAGGCGAAGGGAAGGAGCGGACGCAGCGCTGGCCAGGCCAGGAGCGCGCCGAGCATCGCCTTGGCGGGACACGTGGTCAAAGGCCCCGACCGCGTCAACGGACAGGACGGTGGCTCTGGCGTCGACCTCGGCAGCCGCGCGGAAGACGCGTGGCAAAGCCTCACTGCCGGCATGGGTGCTCAGTCCGTACAGGTGGGGGAGACATGCCTGTTCGAAGTGCGGCGCGAAAGCTTGTGCGAGGGTTCGGCCAACCAGCCGGCGCAAAGCGTCACCGACGACCAGGGCGCGTACACCGCGGCCGTTCGGCTTCTGCAAGGCGACAAGGCGCCTCTGCGCGGCGACTGAAAGCTTGGCTCCAGTGTGGATGTACGCTGGTGCACGAGTCGCACGCAGGAACTGTGAGTCATGCACAGCCTGCAGAAGACCGGCAACATACCTCTCCGCTGAGGTCAAGGCTGTGACATACCCAGAGACTCCCAAACGCCTTCATCAAGGAATATAGAACATACCTGCTATCGGACCCGTAAAACTGGCGCACGTAGGGGAGCACGGGGTGAAGGCTCTGCCTGCACCTGAGGGCGGCAAGCATCGACTGCCTGGATACATGATGACATGCTCCAGTTGCGTCGATGGAGAGCACTGTTGCCCGCGGGTCGACTTCAGAGGAAACGCGCAACACCCGGACAAGAGCCTCAGTGCGCAGCTCGGGCGCTCAATCCATAAAGGCAAGCAAACGTCCTGGAGCTGGGAAAAGTACAGCTGACGAGCGCGCACACGACCTAACGGTTTGCGGAGCGCGACAATGCGCCCGACCAGGATGGCAGCGAGGATGGACCCCAGGACATCCGCGCGCGCGAGCCTCTTGGCGGCTTGGTGCAGGAGCGCGCCGCAAGGCCATGGCGGTCAGCAGCTGCCGAGCGCAACCCGAGTCCGCCGAACCTAAGGGCAAGCTGCGAGGCTCGTTCCCGCGGTCTCCTGCGATGTGCCGCCTCAGAAGTAGGACTGGCGTGCAGCACGCACAGCAGTTTTCTGTCATGCATTCTGCGCAGCGTGATGACGCGGAATGCGAATTCAATGTCAGGAAATTTTCAAGGCATTCGGGAGCCTTTTGGTATGCCCATCTGCTTTCGCTGCTTTCCAGTCGAGGTCTGAGGCTCGACCTCGAATTTTCTCTCGCGCCTTAGACGCGAATCTCCACTTGTTGACAAGGCCTTATTGCACATGGCCCGTGTTGAAAGCAAACCACGTACCTGGCTGTGTGTTTAGGTGTGCGTTTGAGTCACCTGCAGCGTTGACATGTTCTTGTTTGATTGACTATGCTTGTCGTGCTTTGCATGGCATTGCGAACACGCCATGTTGCGCATGTGGTATTGCACGTTCAAGAGTTGGCCCTCAAGCTTTCCAGTTGGGCAGCCCAACAGTTGCGGGCCGCCTCTGCTTGTTTGTCTCAGAATTTTGCCCGCCCTCCCGCCGCAAAGAGGGTTGTGGGTTATTTTTATTTTTATTTTTTTTTTCTCTTGGACTTTTGCGCCTGCTGATCTGTTCGGTCGGCTGCGCTGTTCCTAAACTACCCGGGCTATAGCTTCGCCGCCACTGCAGCCGGCTCGGGTCGGGCGACCCGGGCTCCAGGAGGCGGTCGAGCGGTGGGGCAGGCTCGTCGGCCGCGGTGGAAGTGGACGGCCACGTGCGCCCCACACCGTGGTGCCCACGGCTTGCTGAACCGCGACCGAAACGATGCTCCACCAACGTCTTGCCCAGCCGGATGCGGCCGCGCGGCGCACTGTTGGCGGCGCGCGGCACGTGCGGATGCGGACCATGTCGCGAAAGAATCGCAGGGCCCCGCCATTCCAGCGACCCCCGACTTCCGAGCCGAGCACGACGAGCCGCTGGGGCCCGCCGCCCGTGAGCTCCGGGTAGGCCGCCTGCCGCCTGCTAGCATCGTTCCGCCTCGCGTAGCGCGGCCCCATCCGTGTCGGCGGCGCATGGTTGCGGCTGCCCCGTGCGCGTCAAGGGTGACACGAGGGTAGCGTCGCGCACAGCGCGATGCCCATGGGTGTGGCCCCGTAAATCAACATGTCCAGCCGCCTGCGGTCGTCTGCCGCGACTCCTGGAGCCGAGGTGTGTCCCAACCATTGTTGGGGGCTTATTTGTTTTTTTGGGTGCCTGGGGGGCTCCCCAGCACTGAGTATCATTGCAAATTCACATTCAAAGCATGTTCCTTTCGGATCTGCCCGACTCTATCGGCCTCGTGGCTGGGAAAAAACCGATGCGAGCGAGAGTTCCAGTCTGTGCATGGCTAGTTGCGCTAAGATGCATGGCTTCTGCTTGCAGCTGTTCTACACGCGGGTATTGCAATAAATGTTGTATTCGCCTTTTACTAATGCCCGGGATACATTGCCACGGGATACATTGCCATTACCGTAACATAGGAATATTTGCACAGTTAAGGTTGTTCATTGCGCGCTCATTAAATTCATTCATTCATGTGTGCATCCATTCATTCGCTCATTCGCTCACACACTCATTCCTAATAAATAGACCGTAGCCATTTTGGCTCAAGCCATTTTGGCTCAAGTTTGCTC